CTCTTCCCTAACAGTCGCCCAGACCTTGCCAGCCCATTAATACCTCCCTTAACAGCAATCTTCCATAGATTCAAATCAGGGATGCTCCGCTGCACTAATTGCTCTGTGTTGGGTGAGCATCTTGGATTTAAAAAAAAAAGAAAGGAAAGAAAAATCCCTGCAGGCCCTTATAGAAAACACTCAAGCTACATTGCTAACTGAAAATTTTACAGAAATATACACATGAACATCAGTTAGGGATTTTTGAAACGTTATCATGGTGTCATTTTAAGCCAAGCTAGTTCTCCACACACCACCCGCTTTTTTAAAAAAGCACCAATACCCCCTGGTCATCATGTCTCAAATTACCTTAACTACACCCAGTGTGGTGCTCTGTGGCTACAAACCATGGCAGCTACAGCATTTAAATAACCATCTTGCTATGATTCTTTGCCAAGAGTTCAATTTTTCCCCCTAATTATTGGTGATAAAGTATCACATTAATTGTATATCACTTAATTTACAGCAATTAATGATTGATTGGCTAATCACTGCATTAATCATTGCTTAGTGGTTGACACTGGGGGCTCTTCCATCTAGAACACACGCATTCAAATCCATTCTGGTAAAAGACAACAAGGGGTCACTTTTCCATTTCAAAAGGGAAAACCACAAAGTTGGACAGTGGAAGGAACTGCATTAGGGCGCAGGCTTTGCTTCTAAGAGTATTTCTGTGTCTTCCTCGCTCCTCCCCGCACCACTGGCCCAGGAGAGAGCTCCACACTTACCTTGACTAAATGCGCCCCTGTTTACCAAGGGCTCATCTTTATGCCACCAGCCAGCATTATGGAACCTTCAGGTGGCTTGGGTTAGGGGGTGTCACTTTCATGTCTCCCAGATCACATACCCCAGGCTACCAGAATTCCAAGTTCCTCAAACAACATCAGTCACTAAGTGGTGGCCTTCCTAACTCCAAATCTTCGAGGATTTTCCCATGGCACCAGCCTGCTTTCAGACTCATTACACTGCACTGACTCATTACGTGGCATGTTCCTGGCTGCCAATCGGGTTTGTTTTGAACACATCGACGGCTGTTGTGTACTCTGCTCACTGCACAACTTTGGAAAAGTGCAACTCCTTGGGCTGAAATAGGAAGAACTAGATCAGATGACGAGACTAAACATTTATTCTCAGAGAGTGGAAGAGCACGCTGGTAAGGGCTTGCACCGTGTCCTTGGTTTGAGTGGGTGGCAAAGCGGCGCGCAGGTCTGAACCTATTTGTACAGCATTTGGCAACTTGCTTGTGTTCTCTAGAGCTCAGGGTCCATACCTGCAGGATGGCAGAGGTGGCAGGAAGGATATGTGTAATACCTAGCTCACAGAGCAGGGGTGAGACTCAAATGAGACACAGTAATGCATGGAAAGCAGCGCTTCCCAGCTTTGCGGCCCATCATGGTACACACAGAAGTTGATGGCAAACTGGGATAAACAGACCAAACTGCTACTGACCGTGAATCAGAAGCCCTCCGCCCACCTGGCTGATCCAAGGGCCGGGGGAAGCACAGTACCTGTGCACCTGTGAGCCATCGTGGCAACCCTGCCAGAGGAACAGGAGTCAAAATGGTGCCTAGGACAAGGTTCGAGCTTGATGCAACTTCTTAAGACCTGTCATGTTACACCTGTGACACAGTCTTTCAGGGCTAGTTTTGTTCCTTTTGAGTATCTATAGCTGCATAAGCGGCTTTACATTTGAATTCATTAAAATTAACATTTAGATTTCAGTTCCTCAGTGTACAAGCTGCATTTCAACCACTCAGTAGCCATGTGTGGCTGGTGGCCACCATATTGCTCAGCACAGGTGCCGAACATCTCTTTCAGCACAGGAAGTTCCACTGGACAGTGCTGTTCGACAGTAATTCCGATCTTATGGTGATGGGTGTCCCTGAAATCCCCGGGAGACTGTTGCACTTCCCGAAGGCACTCAACTTGCCTCCAGGGGAACTTTGCCCGGTGCCCCGGACCGAGTAGGGACCCAGCCATGGATCACAGAATCGACCCTGCTGTGATTCAAATCACTATCTTGCTCACCTTGCTGCCACCCAAAGTGGCACACACCTAAACAGAAGAATCCCGAAGAGAGATACCCAAAAAGGAAGTCAGGAATGCTGCCCTAATAACAAATAAATAACTGAAAGTTTTGGTAAGGATTACCCGCTCCTGCACAAACCCCCAAACCCCACAAACAAAATCAATAGCTGAGAAGATGCCAATTATCCAGGCCCATTTGAAATATTATTAATCTGCATCATGAGCAGCCACTAATCAACAGAACAAATTGTGAAATCACTATTTATTTGCCAGAAGGAAGCACTTCCCATCACATTTAATCAGCTAGGAACAGCTCAATTTAGGGAGTAAATGGAACAAACGCAGATATTTTATATAAAATACTAAGGATCCGAAAGAAAGCTCAGAAGAGGTTGCTGGCACCTACATCGATTCCAGGATCAAATTGGCCAAAGTACCTTAATAAAACCTGTCATTACACACTCAGACACTATAGACAAAATTATGCTTCAGGTCAAAAGAGGATCATCTGGAGGAATCAGGGAAGAATTTTCCCTCCTCTTTCTACTACTGTACTTCTGGCAAGGTGCATCTCCGAGTTGTGCACTCATCTGTACTCATTCTTGCTCTGTCTTGTGGAGGTAAAGATTACATCGGCCCGCTGCTTGAATAAATGCGTGAGAAAGTAAAGCCTTGTTAAGGACATTCATTTTTATGGTACTCATTTTATGTCTTGCCGCAGTCTCCTGATCGTGTCCACTAGCAGTGTGAAGGCACAGCCCCACTGAATTATAAACACTCTGAATACGGTCTCACTGGATTGCCCTCAGCAAAGCCTGCCCTGTACTGGCTGCAAGGGTTTGGCATCTTGATGATGCCAATGCAGGGTGTTACCCATAGTAGGAGCTTTGCAAGAAGCTCCAAGGGAGCATAGGCTGCTTTGCATTGTTTTCATAGCACTCAGCACACAGAATACAGGAAACATACGCACCAAATGTTATTTACATGATCCTACTAAATCCTTGAATGTTGTTCCTGCTGGCTTTTCGAAACTCGCAGGAGCCACATGCTGCCAGACATCAGTTTTACATCCAATGGAGGACCAGAGAGAAGACTACTACTTGCTTTTCCTCCTCTTATTTAACTAAGCCATCAAACTCCTTACACAGCGCTTACCGTATGCTGCACACTGCTCTGTGCTTCCCATATTCAAACATTCCCTGCAGCGGTTCTATGGCACTAGGTACTAGTTTTTAACCCCTAGCTCATGTGATGAAACAGAGGCACAGAAAGGTAAAGGGACCTTGAGCAAAGTCACACAACTAGTATGTGGCAAAGTCATGATTAGAAAGCAACCACCTAAACTGTGACAACAAACAGATGGCCCAGAAAGTCACCCAGTCTTTAAACTGTTAGTGAAATCCTCGCCCCCGTTTACCTCCTCCAGTCGGCTATTTGATTGCCAATGGAACCATTTGTTTAGCTTCCTTAATGCTGTCGCCCAAACCTAGATCTTGGTGCAGGCAGAGCAATATGGGCAGAAACTCCCTCCTACTACATCCAGGGGGCCATGGAACATAGACATCCACCCTCTACCTCACTCCACCTTACACATCCTCCCCGGCATGTGAGACTCCACCCCTCAGTTATCGCGAGGACAGGCCTCTGGACCCCACGGCGCCTAGCTCACAAGAGGCAGCAGGCAGCACGGATGGTGGAATCTGCTCGGGGCCCCCTCCATTCATTCAGAGGCAGCTCTGGCCCGTCACTGTCTCCCAGGAAACACTGGACAGCAGCGTGTCACGGCCTCTGCTGGATCCCTCCTGATATTTGGAAGCCATTATGCTGCCTCCTGACTTTCTCTCTTCCAGGCTGAACAGCCCCAGTTTCTCCGGCCCCTCCTCAGAGGCAGTATTTCTCAGCCTTCAGTCATTTTCATTGCTCTCCTCTGGCCTCTCTCCAAGATTCAGTATCTTGTTTAAATAGTGAAGGCCAACACTGAACATGATTTAAGGACAGTCTTGCCTGGAAAAGTAACAAAGGCCCAACCAATACAGACCTTAGAAGGTAAATATTTTCTCAAAAACCCCGTACAAGTATTACAATGTTAATAATGATAGTAATAATTAGGTTGACCAAATAAAATAATTTCTGTTGCCTGTCATATCACTTCCTCTTATTATTGCAGTGGTTCCTGGGAGACTTATCTGTCTTCTCAGAAATGCCTTTGCTCCTCCCTCAGAAAATCTGAGCTTTTTTCTTTGTCTCAGCTCTTCTTTCCCTCAATACAGAAATCTTATCATCTTGAGAAATGGCTGTTCCCCTTCTCTGAGCACCAGTTTTTCCAAAAATAGCACTTCCTATCTTGGCCTCTTCCATTTCTTCTGCTTTTGGTAAGACGTCCTCCTGCCGGACTGCACTATATGCCCTGGGGGGCACCCTGCAGTATACGGGTGCTGGCCCTAGAGGGAGGGAACAGCACGTGAAGAATATGCCGGCCTGCCCTCCCCAGACCCGCAAACGCAGGACAAAGACCACCCTTCACTGCTAACTCCCCTAGAGAACCTCAAGGCCGAGAATCAGGAGGCTCCCACTAGGCTCTCCACGACAAATCTCTTTGCTAGACCTCTGACAGAGGAAGAAGGAAAGAAAGAGCCAAACAATACTGAAGAACTACCCAAGGATGAGACCTCAAAAACCCGGAAGTCCTAGCACGGAGCTTGATACCTGCACGCTCAATGGACAAGTTGGCCTTAGGGCCAAAAAGCTTCACAAATCCTTTAAGAAAGAAGACTGAAAGTGACCACTCAAAAAAGCAAAGCAAAATTGTTCTTCTACTCATCCAGCCAGCTGAGTTTCTCTGGGTTGATTAAGCACGCATCCGCTCCCTGACCTGTAGCTCACTCCTCCAGGGGAGGAGCCCCGCAGGACTCTAGGGCAGCCGTGCACACTACCTGTCCACTTGCTCTGGTCTTTCTCGCCTCCACTCTCCTGGTCTTTAGCAAGCTCCTCTGAATCAGCAGCTGTTTCACTGGGTCCTTCAACATCTTCAATGGCTTCTTCTGAAACGGAAGAAAAGCAAAAATGTCAGTGATTAAAAACATGATGAAGGACCCTTATGCCCCTCTTGCAATGAATTAGCAAGCACAAAACACAGACACCAGTGACTCTGTCCCTCTTCTCTCTTCCCAGGGGCCCCCGGGAGGTTGACTGTGTTAAAAGTACATCCCGCTCTGCAGAAGCAGTTGGTGTGAGGCTGGGACTTGCTGTAGATGTGGCCATTTGGAAGGCCCAGACAGATTCTGAAGGCCACACTTGTGCTTTTCCAACTGAAAAACCAATCCTGGTGAAGCGGTAAGTTCATCTCCACTCCAAAGGTGCGGACACGTCTTTTACATTTGAAAACGAAACAATGCAGCCACATGCCCACTGCTCACACAGCTCCATCCTCAGAGCATCCTGGCCGTGGACCAGACCAGATCTAGTCACCGGCTCTCGGATGGCCTGGCAGTGCCTATGCACATGCTGGGGTGTAGTGGGAGGTTTTTGCAAGTCATTCATATTATGAAGAGTAATGGAATTATCAGTGATATGATTTCATCAACACAAAGAATGCTAGAAACACCACAGCATCTTGTGGACATGCTGGAATCAGTGATGAGAGGCAAAGGAGTAGAAATCAACAGTCACTACTGGTTTTAAACTAATGCAGGAAATAGTGTTGTAGCAAAGGTAAAATGAATGGCTATTTCCAAACTAGGCTGATTATAAAGTAAACACCATCTGCCCAAATGGGGGCATTCTGTTTGAACGTATGCATGAATGAATGAATGAAGCAGACAAACCAAGAAAGTCATTTTCACGATGCTGAATTTATCAGGAGACTCTTAAGAACACATCTTTCTTGGTTCAGAGCCATGAGAGCAGGAACATCCACATCTGTTACCTGAGTCTACTATCACAGAAGACCCAGGAGGGTCCAGGGATAAGGCTATAATCTAGAATGTGGCCTAAGGGTCTGCTTGATACCACTACGGATCTCTCCAACCTACTTTTAAATCTCTCCCTACTTTTAAATCATTCAGGTGTTATTCCCTCCCTCTGCCACTCTAGAAAAGCTCCTCTAAATTTCATCAGACAAAGGAAGAGGAGTTAAAATAAGTGACCTCATAGGGTTCCTAAAACACTCGAAGAAGAATCAGATTTTCCTAACTCTTAGAGAATGATGGAGGCCCAACAACTAGAATTCTTAGGTACGAGTCAAAGAATGTTCTTTCTTTATTACTAGCAGGAGGCAGTTTATGTGGTGGCCACGGGGAACACAGCTGAAATAAGCTGCTGTTTATTTTAATCTCCAACCAAAGGCTCCACATAAAATTTCAATGACTTCTTTCTGTCTTGTTGCATAGTAAAGGTAGCATCAAGTCTGCCCACCCTATCCTTAGTTCACACAGAGAAAAATCAGGTAATCATGGCTCGGAGTTAATCAGTTAGACAGTCCAATATTAAACCACACATTGTTTACTAGAGAAGAAATATGTTAGCAGAGTAATAACAAGGGAGTTACACAGCATGATGTATGTATCACCTTAATTATGCTCAGGTAAGATGTTCCATGCGCATTTTTAGGCTTTTAATAAAATTATTCAACACTATAATTATAAAATTTATCTTTGAATGGCGATACTGGCATACAGTCAATCAATATTATTAAACTGTACCTACCCAAATTAGCTAAGTCTCTAAAAACAGACTCATTTGTCCCCATACATGCTATGATATAAAATATCGGTAGTAGCGCTATGTTAATCAAATTTACACAAAGAGATCGCTCCATGGTCCCTTCTCTCCTACTGGGTGTGTGTACACACGTGCACACATGCGCACATACAGTTATCTTGGGTGGGGACAGTCTGATATTTACAAATAGAGAACACCCCAACGTGGTGATAAACAGTGTCTGACTCACTGCTCAGCAGAGAAGGAAAAGATTTACCTACTGAACGGCCATCTCCTCTGTCCTGCGTATCATGTGGCACGCAGCTGGCAGAACGGAGAGTTAAAAACTCACTGTCACCTGGCACTGACTCCAGTCTGTTGAGCCTTTCCAAAAAAAATTCTATTCAGAGGATTGAGACGAAAGAACAACCAGATCACTGACGCAACGAGCAAGGAAACCACACCAAGCTCTGTGAATGCCCCAGGAGTCCTCATTCACCGAGTCTGCTGGAACCTTGCTTTCTTCCCTCTCTGCCCTACTCCAAGCAGAAAAGAAAAGCAGCTCAATTTCAGTGAGAGGATAAACCACAGAGGTCATTTCATTTTGCTATTCTTTTTTGTCTTTTCCTCCAAGATTTAAAAATCGAGTCTTCTTGGATTCCTAGCCTTAACATTACTTGTGGATAGGTCACTAAAAGGCATCCATATGCAGGATGGAAGAAGAAATGATTGAGAAACTTCTGGATCAGTCAGTTCCCTTTGCAGGAGATCAGTTGTCTTCACCTCAGCTAAAAACCAGGTCCCATTCCACCAAGCAGGCGCTTCCCTGCAGTTCCACCTATAACCTACAGGTGTCGCCCTCTGCATGGCAAGGCCGGGAGGGCAGCGGGCTGTAGGAGGCAGACAAGTCTGGGCGGCCTAACCTAAGCATGTGGAAATAATATACATCTCCAAGTGAACTGTCTGGTCCTGAAGAAATAAAATAGGACATTCATAAGCAGTTACACCATCTGTCTTTATACCATCATCATCAACGATGAGAGGGGGGAAAATGTTCTTTAAAATGGATGAAAGCCCAGGCTGACAGTAACCGGAAAACTGAGCTCTGAATACCAATAAAGGTAGAGAAATGATTTAAAAACAGGGATGGTAACTGCAAATTTGTCTGGATGGCTCAAGCCCATGATGCTTTGCAGACAATGTGTGTTTCTATTGGTCCCAAAACTGAAAAGCAAGTCCTCTCACCAAGAGCCAGGCCTCAGGCACCCAGGGAAGAGCTTGGTCTCCTGTCGCTGGGGACATGAGGACATCCAGTTCTGAAACACAGCCTTATCTACATGGCAGGCTCCTGGGGCTGCTATCAAGCCCTTGTTCCCTTTAGGGGAAATGCGCTGACAGGGCCCAGAATGCAGGAAGTCTTCCCCAGATGGCCCGCCCTCCCCTGAAGAGAATGGCAACTCGCTGGGGTCATTTACAGACGCCATACTGTTTTTTTAGGTTTATTTTTCAATAACATCAACTACTAACAGAAGGTAGGAACTAGTGAAGACTTCGACTGATGATGCGTTTTATCTGGAAAAATCCTGTCTTTCACACAGAGGAAAGGGCTGTTTTCCTTCACCAAAACACACAACAGCCACCATGCCATTGACAAGGCCAAAACACACACATCGAAACCATCTCCCCTGAAAGTGTTCAGCAACATTTTAAATTCCAACCATTTCGGAGAACACCTCCAATGATTTCTCCATGCTGTGGCCAGGACCTGGGTGGGCAAGGGGTCATCTCTGACCCCCTTGCGCCTGGCAGGAGGCCCAGCACACCCCAGAGAGGGGGCCGGGTAGAAGCTCACTTGGATGGCTATGTCCCACAACAGCTCTCAAGCTAGGCTGCCTCCTCTGTTCTGTCTTATTTTGCTAGAAAAGGCCCAGGGAAACAGACGCAAATCTTGAAAAGCAGGGAGGTCTTTCGGGTGTCCTTCCTACTGTTAATGTCCATGTAAAACAGTGACTGAAGGCCTCTACCAAATTGTCTCCATCACCATTTCCTCCTACAACTCCCAGATAGTACTTCCAGCACCGGGCCAAACCCAGACTGCTCCCGTCACTCACATTTCCTGTCCTGGGCAGAGTTCTCAGGTGGAAGCCTCCCAGCAGACGGATATATTCTCAAAGAGCAAGGTTCCTAAGGCAGCTTAGGTTTTTGAGAGAATGAGACCATAGTCCCAGAAAATTCCCCTTCAGCTGAGGCAGTGTTGCTCACCATGGATGGAAACTGTTCTCTTCACACACATTAGACTTAGCATCTTGGTAAAGGTGACTGTGTGATTTCCTTACCCACACTGACGTCTGCTCCCGAAGGAGGTGTGTGTGGCACCCGGCAACCCCATGGGGATTTGTAAAATTTTATGAACCACCTGGAAATCAGTTTGTGGGAGGAGTGCAAGGCAGAAGCCCAAAACAGAAGTGGTATCATCACCACATCAGCATTCAACTCACTGCATATAGTCCCTGCAAGTGTCACCCACAGAAATGTTCCAGTTGTTTAAAAAAAAATAATGGCGGGGGGGCGAGTGATATGTCCACTGGGGGTATTTTACAAATCACTTACAGGCTTGAAGGAAAGGGGAGTCAATCAATGATCAAGATCAGTCCCTCTGTTCCTAATTCTTAACAGGATAATGTAGATTAATTCAGACCTGACAAAGCCCCTCAGTGCCTCAGTGTGACAGAAATTTGGAGATTCTCTGAAGAGTCGGGGTGTTTGTACCCAAGGCTCTCCCATGAATGTGTTACTTAAGTAATACACCAATCTGTGATCCCCAAAGAATGAAACTGTTCTTTCCTTTTTTCTGTGTGGGGAGTAACGTTCGGGGAGGGGTGGATAAAGTACGCTTGCCTGTCGGCAGGCTCAAGAGCTGAGAAACATTAGCTGTCATGAACCACAATCAAATCAGGTTTGAAATATTTAGCAGTGGCTTGGAAAATGCGGTGGCGCAGCTCTGACAGGCGAGATGTGCAGACACCCACTTTCCATTATAATGGAAATATCAGGCCTGTTCTGAATATGTATAACCCAGAAAAATGTATTGATTTTTCATTCGGCATTAAAAAAAATGAAATAGCCTGCAGCTGTCAAAAGCCTTTTGTTAAAAGCTCATCCTTCCTGGAATGAGGTTTACCAGAAACAAGTTTTAATTGTATATAGGACCTCTTCTTTGAAAAACAAAATAACCAATCTGCTTACTTTGAAGACAGGGTTAAAGCTTTTGCTTTCTCCATTTTCAACCTAATTAACCCAAGGACGACCACCGAGGCAGGCGGGAAAGACTCGAGACTCCACA